GTGGTGGAGGTGGGGGTGGATTAATTATTTTATAGTAGAATTAAATATTAATAATAAATTAATTTAATAATTATTATTTCATAATTAAATTATAAATAAATTTTAATGAAAACCTGATTTTTGAAATTTAAAACTTCAAACCTTAATTTTAAAATGGTGATAATTAAATACCTTATTTATGTATTGTTCCCTTGAAAAAAATCCCTGAATTTATTGAATCCTAAATCTCGCCACCAGCCATGTGAAAGAGTGTCTCCCAATTTATGTTAATTGGAACTTTCACTGAATAATTTGCAAAAGTTCCACACATCTACTATTTACTGACATCTCGTCTTAATGGCTGATTTCTAATGAATCAACTCATTTTAGCATTTCTAAATTTCTCACTTTGCAAGCACTTTTCTCTTGCTCTAATTTGTCGCATTCGTTGTTTTCGCTCCAATTTCAGTTTTGATCGCTCCAAAATGGATGGTATTTTTTTGTTGATGGTATAACACTCTATATCGAACTATAAAATATAAATACTTTTTACGCTGTAAAACCATGTCGGGCACAACTTTAGTGTTGTATTTTTTTTATTTTTATTTTTATTTTTTTTGTAGAGTATGAATTTTACTCTTACATAAACTTTTGAAAATTTTTGCCTCCCCCAACGTAAATTCTTAGTTCCGCCCCAGATCATGACATACTACAATATGTGGTGTAATTAGTTTTGTGATCAGTTATTATCTCTTATCACCTATTGTAGTGTCGTGTAATTCGAGTGCTTAGCATAGCATAGGCTGTTTGAACATTTTATGATATTTTAATTATTACTTAACTAATTATGAACAATATTTTAATGTGTTAGGCCATAATTAAAAAAAAAAGAGGTTAATGTTGCCAAAGGCATAATGCCAGAGAGTAGCATCCATTCACGAAAATGCCAATATAGACCCCACTCTCTTGTTCTCACAACAATATATAAAGAGTTAAATTATTGTTGAACTACATAATCGATTTCATTACAAACAAACAAAAAATTTCGTTTTCCCAAAAAAAAAAAAAAAAGAGGCTCCTTAAGTAAATCTTCTTATTTTAATTTTTCGTTTATGAATTATACATTAACATAAATTAAGATAAATCAAACGGTTATTTTGTATTTTCATACATTTCAAAATCTTGACTTATATGCATCTTTAAAATACAATATTGAACCTAACTAAAGTGTCTGAACTGTAATAAATCAAGAATAGAAGCAAAATTCTTATTCATAGTATTGTTTAATCTCGTAGAGCAAGCTAAAAATTTCAAACTTTACATGCTTGTGTGAAGAGATCTTTTGAAAAATAATTTTTGGATAAAATTTACGGAAAAAAATGAGAAAAACTATGAATATATGGTTGTTGCTAGCTAGAACTCGGTTGGATAAGAATCATTGGTTCACTCCGCTGCCAATTTCTTATTCATTCATGCCGCTAGGCTCGTGGTCACCAAATTTTGGCGACTTTCACTTTCAATCCGAGACGCCTGTGATTGAGTGAAAATTGATTGATGCTCAAAAAACGCTCGATCAAAGGGATGAGTCATGATGAATTTGATATTGAAGAACCAGCCACTAGCTCAGCCTAAGTAATTTTGGTATATGAAATTCTCGTCCTTTTCCATATAAATCGTGCGTTCTTGTGTGATCTATTATTTTTCATACTGCTCTTATTTTTTCTTCTTTATTATTTGGCCCGATTCTTAATAAATTGGTATCAGAGCCTGCACCAATTTTCTAACAATAAGTTCCTTGCTGGATAACTTATGATCTCTATTCCTTTCTTTTCAAGAGGAAAATAAGTGTGAATAAAATTGATTTTCGAAAATGACTCCTACACGAGGCGGTGTGAAACTCTGATTTTTCTAATCTTTATCTTATCAAACCACGTGCAAAATTCATTAATTCTCATTGCACGTAATCTTGTACCAAGAAATA